ATCAGATAGTTCTGGGTTTTAATTCTAACTCTGCTAATTAGTTGAGTGAGATCTATGGCTGACAGCTTAATTTTATTGCCTCAGTTCCTCATTAGTAGAGATAATAATGCTTGTCTTTTAGGGTCTACTGAGGATGAAGATTGCTTGTAGGTATTACCCACCCAATTTGCAGACTTGCTCTTCTGCCTTTGGTTCATTGTGTTACTTTGATGGATAACCTCTTTCTCTGTGGTCGTAACCTCTGTGGGAATCTTGGGAGTTGGATTATCTCCCACTCCTGACACCTCAACCAAACATCTGACCTTTTAAAACTATTTTCAGTCTTTATATTTTCATCTACTTCATTCCTAGATGAACGAATTCCTAGATCAATTCTGTCTAAACAATAGGGAAACTAAATAGGAGGAAGATCTTTGAGCTGAGACATATTCCCATCACTATTTATGTATTACTGTAACCGCTTACAAATACCTCATTGATTTTTCTGCCTTTTTAAAAATTTATTTATTTAAGAGAGAGAGAACATGGGGGTGAGGGGCACAAGGAGAGGGAGACAGAGTCTCAAGCAGGCTCTGAGCTGAGCACAGAGCCCGACACCAACCTCGATCTCACAACCCTGAGATCACGACCTGACCCAAAACCGAAAATTGGACACTTAACCAACTGCAGCACCCAGACACCCCTTTCTGTCTTTTTAAATACACATAACAGAGCTATAAAACAGTTTCTGAGCATAGCTTTAGCTTATCCCACAGGTTTTGATACGTGGCATTTTAATTTTTATTCTGAGTATTTTCTAATTTGCAGTGTGCCTTAATTGACCTTTGCACTGTTTAGGTTTGTTTAATAATTTCCTAGTATGTGATAATTTTCTAGTTATCTTTTTGTTACTTATTTCTACCTTGTTTGCTTTGTGATCATGGGATAGTCTCTGTATGTTTTCATTCTTTTGAAACTTGCTGACACCTGCATTATTGTAAGTTTTTAAAATTGTTTTTATGTGTACTCTATGTTCATGCACTTTAGGTCAGGTTTATTAACAATTTTTCCCATCTGCTCTATCGTTACTTTTTTTTTTTAAGATTTTATTTATTTATTTGAGAGAGAGAGAATGAGAGAGAGCACATGAGAGGGGGGAGGGTCAGAGGGAGAAGCAGACTCCCCGCCGAGCAGGGAGCCCGATGCGGGACTCGATCCAGGGACTCCAGGATCATGACCTGAGCCGAAGGCAGTCGCTTAACCAACTGAGCCACCCAGGCGCCCCGTTACATATTTTTTATTTGCTTATTCTGTCAATGGGAAATCTGTGGTATAATTTGACAGCTAATTGTGGATTCATCTAGTTCTTTTATTGTTGCCATTTTTTGCCTTATATATTTAGAGGGTGTATGCTTAGGTACATATTTATTTAGTGTTGAAACTTTTATTATTAAAAAATGTCCCCTAATGTCTCTAATGCTTTTCCCTCAAGGTTTGCTTCATCTGAAATACAACTACATAATCTTTCTTTTGGTTTGTGTTTGCATGCTATATATTTTTCCTTCCTTGTATTTAATGTTTTCACCTGTGTAAGCTTCATAGTTACACAGTTTTACTGTTCTTAAATCAGAGATTACAGCAATGTATGCTTCATCTATGAAGTCTGTTTCTACAGTTTCATGAGCATTGCAAAGAACTTAAAGTACTTTAATAACTTCATTTACTCTTCTCCAGACTTACATTCTGTTGTTTTGTTATGTATTTTAATTCTCTGTATGTGTTGGGACATTAATATTCCTGTTTCATGTAGTCAGTATTCATATAGATTTACCCACACATTTCGTATTTTCATTGGTTTTCCTTTTCTGCATCTAGAAGCCTCCATTTGGAATTGTTTTCTTTCTCTCAGTGGATTTATTTCCTTGATTGTAGATCTGCTAGAGAGTATTTGTCTTTGTTTTTGTTTTTCTGAAAGTCTTTTGTATTTTGCCTTTTTTTTTCGAGGACTCTTCTTGCTGGGTACAGAATTTTAGCTCTTGGAGATATCACTCCATTCTCTTCTACCTTTCAAATTTCTGTTGAGAGTTCAACCATCAGTTTAATTTTGCTCTTGTCCAAGTAATCTCTTTTTTTCCCTGACTACCTTTAAGACTTCTCTTTATCTTTTTTTCTTCTCTGCTAGTTTCATCCTAGTTTACATAGGTATGGTTTTGTTATTTATCTTGTTGGTCATTCTTAAAGCTGCTTGATTTGTGACTTTGTATTTTTTGTCAGTTTGGAAAAACGCTCAGCCATTATCTTCTATGCCTTAGTCTCTTTTTTTCTATGACTCTGATTATTCAAATGTTACCTTTTCACTGTATCCCTGTGGTTCTTGTCCCTTCTCTCCCAGCTTCATTCTTTTTTACTTTGATGCTTCATTCTGGATATTTTTTCAGGCCAATGTAGGCCAATCTTTACTAATTTTCTTCTTAGCTCTGTCAAATCTGTTGAGTCCATGTTTGACTTTCTAATTTCCTTAACTTTACTTTTCAATTCGAGAATTTTCATTTTATTTTTTGTTAATTATTCTTTGCTACAATTCTTAGTCTTTTCCTCTGTAGAGTTGACCCTTGAACAACACAGGGGTTAGGGCCACTGACCCCCTGAGCAGTCAGAAATCCATGTGTAACTTTTGAGTCCACAAAAACTTAAGTACTAATCTCCTGTTGAATGGAAGCCTTACCAATAACATAGTCAATTAAGACATATTTTGTAAAATATAAAAAGAGATATATTTCATATATGTATTATTACAATAAAGTAAGCTAGAGAAAAGAAAACGTTACAAAAAAATCTAAGGAGAATATGTTTGGTGTATTGAAAAAGAATCCACATGTAACTGGACCCATGCATAAGTGGAGCCATACAGTTCAAACCTGTGTTTTTCAAGGTTCAGTTGTCTGTATCATGTATTGCTATATTGGAAACACAGCCAGTGAGCTGTATGACCTGTGAGCTAAGAATGATTTTTACATTTTTTAAGGGTTATTAAAAAAAAAAGTCAAAAGTATCCACAGAGATTGTATGTCGCCTGCACAAGTGTCAAATATATGTTCTTTGGTCCTTTAAAAAAAATGTTTGCCTGCCCTTGCTATATATATTTTAAAAAGTCATTTTACAATCTGATTATCCTGTTATTTGAAAGTTCTTTGTTGTTTTTTAAAGTTTATTCTCTCAGTTTTCATCAATGCTATCTAGTCTTCTCATGTGCCTGGTTTTATTTGAGCAATGGGTGTTGTATATGCAAAATATTTTAAATAATTTGAGACCTAGTGTGATTTTTTTTTTTTTCCTATGGTAAAGGTTCCTGTTTGCTTCCAATAGTTGACTTGAAGCACTAGTAACCCTGTATAACCTTAATACAACATCAGGGGTTTAGGTGATTCTAAGATGGATATCAATTTCCTTTGAATCACATTCATTCCTAGAGTAAAATGTTCTTTCCAGACTCCCAATCCAAAGAATGGCCTTTTCATGCTAGGCCTTGGAATATAACTTTTGTCTCTTTAACCAGTGATTATTGAAGTGCTTCTGAGTCTCTTCATTTCCCTCTTTAAGAATCAGCAAAACCTCACAGGCCAGATTATGTGTGTGTCTTCCAGCTTTTCTGTTTATCTTAGTTATAGAATTTATCTGAGTTACCACTGGCAGAGGATTGTGTAATGTCATTTCTGTGTGTAGTTTGTTTGTTTTTAGAGAGGGAGAGAGAATCTTAAGCAGACTCCCTGCTGAGCATGGAGCCTGACGAAGGGCTAATTCTCATGACGCTGAAATCATGACCTGAGCTGAAATCGTGAGTCAGACACTTACCCGACTGAACCACCCAGGCGTCCCTCTGTGTGTAGTTTTTATAATTATAGTGACTACTCTTAAGATAATAGAATTCAGACTTGGCCATTTTTCCTTTAGGGTTTATTTAGTTTTTACTACTGTGTGCATCTTTCTCAAACATTTTCCTGCACTAAAGCAATGAGAACCTCTGTTTTAAAAAGTAAATACATTTCTCTTAATGTTCCTGCATAGCAGGTTGTAGAGATATTATTTGGAAAATATATCACCATGCCTCCTATATAAAACTTTCTCTCACTACTCTGGAGCACAGTCGTTTGTTTCTTACTTTAATTCTTAGAGCACTGATTTTGTGAGGTTTTTTTTTATTGTTATTCTGGTTTGTTTTTTGGTATGAAAGATATTATACAACCTGCATCCCTATAAAAGTGTGACCATACTAAAGATGATGTGATACTATCATTTCCTTCTTGTGTCTCTTGTATCCCTGCACCTAGCATAGACATTAATTAAATCATCATAATTACTAACAAATTTTTTAGTGGTTTACTAACTACTACAATGTCATGTGAAAAGAGGTCTACAAAATTTTTGAAATGTGGAATGCAGTCAACTGGTTTTTTTCCTAAGTCTTGCTACCAGATGCTGTACTTTAACACAAGATATTGCTCTTCTTTTTTTTTTTTCCATATCAATGACCATTTTGTGTTGGGGTGTGTGTGTGCGTGTGTGTGTGTGTAATGCATTCTGAACACTTGAAGGTAGCAGTAGCTGATAGTTTTATTTGGAGAAAAAGAGGGGCCAAGTGTTTCCTCTGAAATACCATTACTGATGGTAATGTCTTCTGAAATCTACACAGTGGGATTCCACTCTAGGCTTGACTAACAGTGTCAGAGTACTAATTTGGTTCTTATTTCCTAAGATTTTTCTTAAAAGTGGAAAATTTAGGTTAGAAATGAGATTGCACAGTAATATACATAAAACAAATACTTGTTACAGAAGTTACAACGTGTCAAGAACTTTTTTATTTTAAAAATTTTTTAAGTATTTTAATTCCAGTATAGTTAATATACAGTGTTATGTTTCAGGTGTACAATATAGTGATTCAGTAATTCTATACATTCCCCAACAACGCTCTTAAAGGTAATGTTTGATGTTTAGAATATCTTAAATTACTTTTTCTTCTTCAGCTTCCGGCCGATCTTACCAAGATGCACATCACAGACAACCCTCATCCACAGGTGACTCATGTGTCTTCTAGTCAGTCTGGTTGTAGCATCGCCAGTGACTCTGGGAGCAGCAGTTTATCTGATATCTATCAGGTAATATCGTAGGGGTTTGGGTGCTGTGCCTATGGCTTTGTTAGTCTGCCCGATTACCCATGCTTGTGCTTTAGGTGGTCATGTATCTTTTAATTTAAGGGTATGAAATTCAGGCAGAATGTCTTTGGGAAAATACACTTTATTTATTGTTTCAAATTTGCAAACTTAAGTGATCTTTTGAGAGTGATTAAATATGGCTCAAGAGTGTATGAATATAGTGTTCTTTTTAATGACTTTAATCCAGGGGAATTCATTATATATAATGCTTGCTTTGTTAAAAAAACAGTTCTTGAAACAACTTAAACTTACAAAAAGGTTGATTTTTATAATAATAGACTAAGTGTTCTATAAGTAGTCTTGAAGAAAATTAAGAGTTGCTTTTTCTTTTTTTAAGTTTTTATTTAAATTCTAGATAGTTATAGAGTTGCTTTTTATTGTAAGGGGTCTATTAAATTTTCTAAGTAAAAGGAAACCAGTAAAATTAATTTGAATAATGTATTTTATTTAGCATAATATATCCAAATATTATCATTTCAGCCATAATCACAGTTTAAAATCATGAGTTAACTTTTAAAAATTCTGGCTTCCGAAGACAGTATAAAAAATTACTTTAATATAAATTTAAAGCAAACATGTACATGTAAAAATTAATATCAAAGTTAATTTACTAGCTGATATTTTTTAAGATTTTATTTATTTGAGAGAGAAAGGCTTGCTCCAACTGCAGAAAGCCTACCTACCTTCCTAGGCTGCCAGTTGCTGGTGGAGTTCCAGGTGGAATGTTGAGGGGTTCTCTTGGGTTTGTTGTGGCTGGTGGTTCCATGGTGACTGGGCAGACTGAATCGTGGATCAGTGCCATGGAGGAGCTGAGATCCTCTTCGGAGCTTGGCTTTGAGCTGATCCTTGAGGTGGTAGAATTGCCCAATGACCTGAGTCCACAACCAACTTTCCAGAGCCACTTGGACTGCAGCATTCCTACTGCCTGCTTTGGTGACTCTGCAACAGACCAAGCAGGGCACGAGATGGAACGGCGAGGGTCCGCCAGCCCAGGCTGTGGCCCAGGCCCCAAAGTGCCAGGCAGAGGGATGTGAGGGTGCATGCACAGTATGAGGATGCGGGAGTCTCCCAAAGCCAGAATTCAGTATAACCTTACTATACATCTCCGTTCAGACCAGCCACAGTTCAAGTGACCAATAGTCACATATGGCGAATGGCTACTATATATTACTCATCTTGTGAAACGGAGTTACTGTTGCTCGAGGAAAACATTTTAGACTGTGGGTCTACTGAGTCTTCAGATATTTTAGGAGAATCAGCATTCCTCTCAAGGGAAGTTTGTAGGCAGAGACAAAATGGAAAAAAACCTCCATTTTTGGATTATGCATAGCTTTTCTCCACAAAGGTCATTGCTGCGGCCATCTACATCTCCCTGTTTAGCATTTTATAGTAGACAGTACAAGGAATTCTTCCTGCTTACCATTTTGTAGGAGACGGAACAAGTAATTTTTTAAAAGTACACTTAAAAAGTGCAGGGACTTTTAAAAGTGCAAAGCGTCTCCGAGTGTTGCATTCCAGGTATTCTGCCCCTCCCCAAAGGAGTTGTCGTGTGGAAGAAAAAGGGTTCTTGCACACCTAAAAGTCAAAGTAGAGCTGTAGCTCCTCTGAATTCTTTGTTTTTCATAGAGAAGATTGATCCTGGATTAATGAAGTTCAGGGATGTGGCTATAAATTTCTCGTAGGCTAAGTGGGAATGTCTAGACCTTGTTAGGAGAAATCATACAGCAGAGATGTGGTGTTGTTAAGCTCTAGGTACCTCATCTTGCTAGTATATCCATTTCTAAACCAGATGTTACCACCTTTTTGGAGCAAGGAACAGAGCCTTAGATGGTTGTAAGAGAAAGGACAAAAGGTTAGTGCACAGATTGAGATCAGGGTCACTTGGAAAGGCCAGTGCTTTACTCTGCACTAGAAGATGGGCTGTACACGGCAGGGTCCTGTAGCTTTGGCAAGATCTTGGAGGAGCTTCTGACGCATTGCATTTATATAAGATCTACAGGATGTCTACCTACTGGTTTGTCTACCTGAGGCTGAGGCTGGAGCACGCCTACTGGTAGTTGGAGGTCTGCTGCTGTAGAATTTTGGCTTTGTATGTGGCTGCCCTGCTCCAACCTTCTGTATGTTTTCTTTCCTCACTAGCACTTTGTACAGCTCATTCTGCCTTTTAGAAGGGTCATTTTAACATTGGCTAAACTGTGGACAAGTAAGCTTGCCAGCTGTCCTGCATGTTACAGGACTGCCTCCGTTACAAAGTGAAGAAGGCAACATGTCATATCCCAGAAACCTGAAAGTTACCATTGGCTCTTCTCCCTTGAGCATAACTTCCAGTACCAAGTCATATTCATTCTTTTTCCTACATCATTAGTTGTGTTTGTGTTTATATGTTTGATGTTAACTGAAGTATAATTTACATAGAATAAATTCACCCTCAGTAGTAAAGCCTCCATGAAGACAGAACATTTCCGTCACCTCAGAAAGTACTCTGTGCCCCCTTGTAGTCAGTATCTTCTGATCCTCAGACCCTGGCAACCACTAATCTGTTTTCTGCCTTTACAGTTTTGCATTTTCCAGAAGGTCGCATAAATTGAGTCATGCAGTTTGGGTTTTTTTTTTTTAGGAGGAGTATTTTGGGAGCCATATACTTTAAAACATGGTGCAATTAAACTTAAAAAGTAATCAGTAAAATAAAAGTAGGTTTTAATTAATTTAGGAGGACCAAATAGATAAAAGGAGCACAAATAATGAAATCAAGAACCAAAACGGGAATTCAGTAATTTAAAGGAGATAATTATAATATTAGAGTCACATATGCAAAAAGATAAGATAAAAATTCTTAAGAGTGGCCAAAGAAGGTAAAAATCTTCAAACCTGGGCTTCCGTTAAGCTTAGGTGAATAGCCAATGGATAGAAACAGTTTATGTTATAAAGGAACAGAGTTAGAAACAGAAGAAACCAGTATCTTAAATAAATACACTTACATACATAATTACATATATTTTATACATGTGTACATGGAATGTAAACATGAATTAAAGAGGACCAAATGATAATAATGTTTTCAATTAGTGGTAGGTTTGTGGGTAGTTTTTATTACGTTACCTAAGCTTTCCTTATTTTTTTCTCAGTGCACAGTAGTATTTCTATATTTAACATATTTTAAGGAGGATGTAAATAGAGTGGACTGTTAAAAATAAAAGTTGAATAAAATTGTGGGAAAAGATTAAAGTTAAAATTACTAGATTAAGGATTAAGAACAGAATAAAAATAAATGGATAAAATATATCCCCCCAAATGCAGAGTATCTAGGCTTACAATTAAAACACAGATAAAGGGGCGCCTGCATGGCTCGGTCAGTTAAGCGTCTGCCTTGGGCTCAGGTCATGTTCTCAGGGTCCTGGGATGGAGCCCTACGCCGGGCTCCCTGCTCAGTGGAGAGCCAGCTTCTCCCTCTCCCTCTGCAGCGCCCCCTGCTTGTACTCTCTCTCTGTCAAATAAATAAATGAAAAAATCTTAAAAAAAACAAAACAAAACAAAAAAACAGATAAGGTAAATAACACCAACCAAATTGTGTGTGTCTATCCAGTCAGATCCTCAGACTAAAACAAAGGCAAGAGGAATAGCAATACTGGAACTTGGTCTTTCTCTTGACCTCTGGCCTCCTTTGGAGTACTTAAGCTAAGAATACACCTGTTAGTTACAGGTGGACATTGGCCTGTGTATATATACCCTGGCCAGTGACAGTTGAGGTAGTTTGTCTGATCATCCAAATTTTGGCACTGCACAGATTTTAAAAGTGAACACCTAATCCAGGCATGGCTTCTAACAATATAAGTAAAGCCCTGTGAAATAATGCAATTATTTTTAATTTGGTGGTTTGAGGGGAAGAGAAAAGAGAGTCGAACAGCAGTTCTTAACAAGAAAACTGTTGACACCATTTTATATGGCCAAATGTGTGGCTGTGCTCCTATGCATTTCCTTCTTGAGAGTTTTCATGTTTAAAAATAAAAGTCCTTGGCTCTCAAGGAAACTTCAAAAAAAAAAAAGCATTTACCACAGTCTGGGTAAAATGCAAGTAATCTTTTGGTATGAATATGTTTCTAATCAGATTAGCTTAAAATTTAGCTAAATTTATGCATTAAGATGTTAGATTGTTCTTGGACCAAATATTTTATGTATCCTCAAAGAGTACACGAGATAAATAAGGAGTGCTTCTTTCTGACTACTTTTTCTATTTATTTCAGTCTGTTTATACCAGCAAGAGCTGGAATATTGTGAAATAAAGCATTTGTCTTTTCATTAACTTTGTTTTTTAGAAACTTGAGGCATACATTCATCCCCCATCCATCTTTTTTAGTTTCTGTGTGGGAAGTAAAACACGGTGCTAAAAATCCCAATGCTTCAGTTACTATCTCTATGGCAGCATGAGTCCTTAATTCATAACTCTACCGTCAGTCTCTCTAAAACCGGTGCCACATTTCCACTAGGATGTTCATTTGACACCTCAGCTAGCTTTGCAATACCATACTTTAATATGCCATACTTCTACTTTAATATTTCTGTCAAAAGTATATCTGTGTGCTAGTCAAAAATCTCATTAATCTTTGACTACCCCCATTTTCACGTGGCGCTGGATTTCACGACCCTTAGATGATGACCTGAGCCTAAATCAAGAGTCAGTCGCTTGATGGTCTGAGCCACCCAGGTGCCCCTACTCCCATTTTTTAAACTCCACATGAGATAAATTACAAGAATCGTGTGACTTGACTCATATATTTAAAGTTTCAGAGTTTCACCGTTATCTAACTTGTACACTTCATTTCATTTCTTATTTGTAGTCACATTCTAAGCCTTCCACTTCTAACCACAATCTGCAGATCTGGCTTTCTGTTCCACTGTACCCCACTTGAACATTCTGGATTCTGGTCCATGACAAAATACATGTTTTATTCCCTGAACATGTTTGCTTCGTCCTAGCCCTGTGTTTTAGTTATGCTCTTCTATCTGCAGTTTCACCTTGATGACATTTTCGTATCGTCTCTCACGTCTTGGAAACCCACAGCAGTTTTCTGTGGATCACGAGTGGAAAATTTGTGCAGGCAGGGTGTTTCTTGTGTATTCCATGCTGAGTTAGCGCACTGTTGGCACTTAGGAAGTAATCTAGAATTTTTTTTTTTTTTTAGTTACATTTGAAAGTAGAAACCAATATTGTTCTTAGTAATTAAAGCTTGATTATATCCAGGGCAAAGGAGGCTTTACTTGAACTGCGTGACCTATTGTAGAGAATATGGAATGGGCTATTCTGGACAGCATTACTGTGAAGGATTAATTTTACAGCATTCTTGCTCTGGCCAAAGAGATAAAGAGGAAACCTAAGGCCTAAGTGGTACATGTAAAAGGTTGAATGAAGTACTCAAAATGGGAATGCAAAAAAGAGAAGCACTGAAAGTTTAAGGTTAATATTAGGCTTAATATTTTCTCTAAACTTGAAAATGTGGTTTTTGTAAGTTTGTATAACTTTTCATTCCGACCTGTAGTTCCCCTCATTCTTTATCTAGGTGCAAACAGGAAAAGGATATCCTCTGGTGGTTTATTTGGGGAAGGCAAAGTCATCAGAAAAATCATCTCAGACTGTCTGCCTCACCAAATTATATTTACACATAAACACAGACGTACATTATACTGCAGGAAAAGAAAAACACAAGTTTAATGAACTTGCCTTATTAGCTGTTTCACCAAAATCCCTCCCCCCCCCTCACCCTGAACTTAATTTATTATAATCTTCTTGAGGGTCTACTGTAATCCAAGTGCTAGGATAAAGTAGTTGAAAGACCAGGGCTGATCTTCTCTGTACCCTGTCTTTACAAATGTGACATATATGTTGATCTACATTTTTTTTTGTAACAACCGTTGATGTTATCTTATTAGTCTCTCAGACTCTCTTAAATTTTCTTTATGGCCTTATTCTTTCCTTGCTTCAGTTTGGGGTAGTTTTTATTGCCCTTCTTCAAGTTTACTCTTACAGTTTACATTTCTTTACTTAGATTTCCCATTTTCACTCTGCTTATATTTCTGTCATTCCTGGGTCTCTTTATACTGATTGATTTTTCTCCTGGTTATGTATCACATTTCCCTCCTTCATCTAGTAAGTTTTTATTGTATGCTGGACATTGCGAATACTACATTTTTAAAAAATTCCCATCTAGTTATTAGAGAATTAAACTCTGCCAACAAACTGCATCCTCAGAAATACCATGCAATGACTTCTAGTCCTGATGGTCATCATATCTACCTTCACCTTAAAAGACCTGACTTGGCTTTGCTCAGTCAAGAAATTAGACCTTGGATTCTACATAGCTCGTTTTATTTACTTATTTTTAAATTACAAAATCCTTTTTAATTGCCTAGCATGTTTTTGGCTGCTCTTTCTTTACTATTTTTAATTCTTATTTTGCCACCTTATCCTTCTTATATACTTTTAACATTTTAATAGTTTAATGTGATATTATTCATCCTTTTTATTGTACTTTGACAAAAGTACAGTTAAAGAAGACATTTGTAAGGATAGATTACATTCTTTCCTTTGCAGATGTCCTTAAAAGATCTCTTAAAACAGTTCCTTTCATACCCTTCTCACAATTCCTACCTATGATTTCCATTCTCCCTAAAGAACTTTCCTCTTGTCTTCACTTCTCACACAGATGACAGTAAACCTTGCCTGTTGTCCACATAACTGAGTTGAATCTTCCTTTTTTTTTTTTTTTTAAAGATTTTATTTATTTATTTGACAGAGAGAGACATAGCGAGAGCAGGAACACAAGCAGGGGGAGTGGGAGAGGGAGAAGTAGGCTTCCCGCAGAGCAGGGAGCCCAATGTGGGGCTCGATCCCAGGACCCTGGGATCATGACCTGAGCCGAAGGCAGACGCTTAACGACTGAGCCACCCAGGCGCCCTGAATCTTCCTTATTTTTGCTATGAACCATCTTTTTACCAGATATAATCTAAAAGGTTTGGAGACTATGTTGAAATAGCCTGGGTCATGGGATGAAAACCTGAAATCGTGAAGACAGTGGTTTAAGAACCCAAATTGATAAAGTAGATTATCCTTAAATTTGGATAAAGTGTAAAAAGGCTACTTTGGGGTGAGCTTTTATATTCTGAAAAATTAAGTAACTGTCAAGAATATTGCTTTAGTGTTTTTAACACTGGTTTCTTGGATTGAAATCCGTGTGTGTAAATAAATGAGGTTTTTGAAAGTCATTTTAGCATGTATACATTTAAATTAAAACTATTTTTTTTAAAGCAATAATAACCTGCTAGCAAGTTTGTGGTTCCAAGGATATATATTAAGAAGTGATTCCACTTAAACTCTAAAGTTCTGTAGCAAGAAAGTAGAGGCAGTTTTGGCCTCAAGGAACCTGGTTGTTTGCCAGGTGTGTGCCCCTGTCTTGTCTGTCTAGTCCTCTGGCACCTTGTAGCTTGCTTCAGTATGTCCCAATTATTTATTATTTCATTATTTTCTATGATGATTTTTAAATTGACTATGACATTTAAATTTACAGTTATTAAGAAATCTGCTATTTCCTTTATAAATATCTGAGACCAATATATTTCCAAAGTTGAGGTTGTAAGTGTAAGCTTATTTTAAACATTGGTTGTGATAATCTCAGCTCTTCTTCCTAATACAATCATGGTTGCCTACTTTACTGGACTCTAATCTTTGTGGTGAAAGACTATCTTATTTGCAACACCCAGCACAGACTAACAGATACTCATAAAACAATTGTTGGTAAACTGTCTCTTTCCTGCACTTCATGTTTTAGGAACTGTTATACTTCTAAGAAATACACATGTTATTTGGAAAACAGGTTACTAATCCAGGTGTTTACATCTCTTGACCATTTTATAAACTTACTGGCTCAGATTTATCATCTGGATATCACCATGAGCCTGTCTTTTCGGGCAGAGAGAAGCCTTTTATAAATAAGTATTGTTTTGCTTTTGATATAACACAGTATTGCCTGATTCTTTATAGTGTTAGGGAGGAGTAGTTTTGATTAATTTGGGCTGTGACATACAATTTTTATAACATAATCGATCAAGATTTCTTTCTGTAGGCTACGGAAAGTGAGGTAGGAGATGTAGATTTAACACGTCTCCCAGAAGGACCCGTTGATTCTGAAGATGAAGAAGAGGAAGATGAAGAGATTGATCGAACAGATCCACTACAGGGGCGAGATCTTGTTCGAGAATGTCTCGAGAAAGAACCTGCAGACAAAACTGATGATGACATTGGTAAGAAATACATCTGTTCACAATAAGAATTTTATAGTTTTATTTATATATAGTTAACTTCTTGCTGCATAACAAAATACCTGAAGCTTAGCAGCTTAAAATAACATGTTTATTTTCTCATAGGTTTCGTGGGTCAGGAATCCCTGAGCAGCATAGCTGAGTGGTTCTGGCTCAGTTTCTCATGAAGTTGTAGTCAGGATGTCAGGGGTTACAGTTAACTGAGGCTTCACTGGGCTGAGCTAGAGGATATACTTACAGTGTGGCTACTCACATGGCTTTTAGTACAAGACCTCAGTTCCTGCTGTGTGGGCCTCTCCATGGGCTCTTAAATATTCTCACAGTGTAGCAGTTGGTTTCTCCCAAGTCAGGTAATCCAAGGGAGAGTAAGGCAGATGCCACATTGTCTTTTATGATTTTGCCTCAGGAATGTCACACAGAGTAACCGTAATACAACATGGGAGGGCACTGCATAAGATCATGAATAATCAGAGCTTTGGAGCCATCTTGGAGGCTGGCTGCCCCAATTTGAGAGTTTGTTTGGAAGATACAGCAGGGGAGTATAGCTAGTGGTATACCACTGACCAAATAACAGCCATCCTTTATCGGGGAGGTTCATCCTCTTGAACTGAGCGCACAACTTGCAGAGGGCTGCACATGGAACAGTCAGGGAGGAAGGGGACACCTGCCTAGCCAGGCAGATCATCTCAGTCAATGCTGGTGGTTACTGGGGTGATAGATGTCACAAGCAGATAGCCCTCATATTCTGGCTGCTCCCGATTATAAAACAAAAGCTTGACTGCATTAAAGTAATTTCCCTCTTCATGACCATAAGGTATTTAAGATATAGTACAACAGTGTCTGATGTCTAGCTTTTTAAAAATTTTTCACATGTTATCAGAAGTCATCTTTTTACTTGTCTAGCTTGAAAAAAAAATGTATATAATTTTTGGATAAAAGTTTATGAATTTTCCTTTTATTTCTTACAGAACTAATCACTTTGGGAGGTTGAACTGCTAAAGATGCTAATGTTTTCTTTAAGAACAAAGATTACTTAGTGTCATTATATATTGTTAGGATTCAATTAAGATTTTATCCTAGACTTCCCTTTTATAATAGCCATATTGCTGTCATTCAAATCAGAAGATGCTACTACTAAAAATCATAATCTGTGTGAGTAAAGATCAGTACATTTGAACATTCCTTGCCATTCTAATGACATAATATTGTTAATTAACTTGCAGTTTAGACTCATGTTATGAATAGTACCTGGACAGAAACTGAAAGTGCATTTTTAATGATAAAGAATTGTATACGGTGCTCTTTTCACAGTTTTTTAAGAATTGAAATATAATTATCTCCCAATTATGTCGGTAAATAGCACCTTATAGTTAATTCTTTTTCATCCCTTAGCTGACTGCTTGTATATGTGTTTTTCCCTTATATTTATCTTAATACTCATGTATCTGTACCAGTAATGTTGCCCTGAAGCAGGCACTCATAAACATTTGTTGGTTATAAAGAGAGTTACCTTGCAGTTGCTTCAACAGTTTGGAACTAGAACTCAAATTTGTTATCCTTCGTTGCTTAATTGTTGACATTTATTAATAACTTTTTTTTTTATTCTATCCCGATAAGAACTAGAAAAAAGACTTTTTTGCTAATCTGTTAGATGGAAAGACATCACTAACTTAACTACCATGGAGTGACATATCAGGGTAGGAGATGGGTTTCTGGTTCTCTCTGGAGGTTGTGAATTCTGGCTATCTTCCAATATGCCTATTTTTTGGTGTGATTCTGAAATATCTGTTAAATCATTGTTTTGTTTTGTTTTTTTAACCAACAGTCATCTCATACCTTGGTTGCTCAATGTTAACAGATAAATTCATAAGTTGATTAGAAAATTGGGTATTCAATTTTAGATTTTACTGGATCTTTAAAGTATAGTCTTGATGGTGTCTATACCAAAATTTCTTTTTCTTTTCTTTTCTTTTTTTTTTTTAACTAGAACAATTACTGGAGTTTATGCACCAGCTCCCTGCTTTTGCAAACATGACCATGTCTGTAAGGAGAGAACTCTGCTCAGTGATGATTTTTGAAGTGGTAGAGCAGGCTGGAGCTATTATTCTTGAAGATGGGCAAGAGGTAGGCTAGCAAATGTTGCATATTATTTAGTGTGGGAGCAAATTTTTAGAATGATTTAATTTCTATAAACTTATGTAAATCTTGACCTTTGAAATTTATATGATGTTTTACATGAATGCTGAGTTTGGGTTTGTTGTAATTTCTAAAAATAACAAGTTTTTATTTTTGTTTTGGCTTTACGTTGTCTTAATTTTTATTTCCCAGCAGTGAACCTAGGATAGAATAGATGTTCAATAAATAACATTCATTGAACTAAATTTGTTTTTACTTCTCAAGTTGTAATACTTAAAAAAATTCTTAATCATTCTATTTGTATATTTATGTCATTATTTAAAATATTTACTCACTCTCCTTATCCATTTTCTGTGTTATACATTAAAAAAAAAAGTAAAACATATTGATATCTATGCCTCCTGGTGAAATGCTGTCAGTTGAGGCATTTATGTGGTGGCAGTTCTCTGTTTAGAAATGTTTGGCTGGTAACCTTGGGTAGGTGAGGGGAGGATGCAGAGGAATTACTGCTGTTAGGAATTACTTCAGTTTTTCTTATCAAACTGATAAAAATGCTGATATATCAGTCAATGAAAATTGTCATACACTGCTAGCTGGAATATAAACAGCATTTCTGGAAAGTCTTTTAGAAATTTTTAACATGGGCCTTGAAGAATTAACAGTCTCTATCCTATTTCACTCATTATGAGTGTCTTTGTTCAGTACATAATATAAAACTCAGAGTTAATGCCAAAAGATGTTCATTGCAGCATATTTATATTTATTGGAAATGACTAAAATGTAATTCAGTAATCAGTTGTTAATTATTTTATGCCTACAAATGTAATATGTAGGTATTCAAGTATTTTAAAATTTGATGGAATCTCTCTGAAAGCAGGGGCCTTATCTCTATCTTTATTTACATGTTTTTTCCCCGTATCCTAAACATCTGGCAGGATATACTCAAGAAAAGAAGTTTCTCCCTCTTTTGCTGTGTCTCTGTCAAATAAGTAAAATCTTTAAAAAAAAGGGGGGGGGCAAAGATACAAATGTAGGGATCCGAAGGGGTACGTGCACCCCGATGTTTATAGCAGCAGTGTCCACAATAGCCAAACTGTGGAAAGAGCCAAGATGTCCATCAACAGATGAATGGATAAAGAAGATGTGGTATATATATATACAATGGAACATTATGCAGCCATCAAAAGGAATGAGATCTTGCCATTTGCAACGGACCTGGAGGGTATTATGCTGAGCGAAATAAGTCAAAAAGAGAAAGACATATGTCATATGACCTCACTGATATGAGGAATTCTTAATCTCAGGAAACAAACTGAGGGTTGCTGGAGTGGGGGGTGGGGTGGGAGGGATGGGGTGACTGGGTGATAGACACTGGGGAGGGTATGTGCTCTGGTAAGCGCTGTGAATTGTGCAAGACTGTTGAATCTCAGATCTGTACCTCTGAAACAAATAATGCAATATATGTTAAGAAAAAAAAAAAGAAGATAGCAGGAGGGGAAGAATGAAGGGGGGGAAATCGGAGGGGGAGACAAACCATGAGAGACAATGGACTCTGAAAAACAAACTGAGGGTTCTAGAGGGGAGAGGGGTGGAAGGATGGGTTAGCCTGGTGATGGATATTAAAGAGGGCACGTTCTGCATGGAGCACTGGTTGTTATGCACAAACAATGAATCATGGAACACTCCATCAAAAACTAATGATGTAATGTATGGTGATTAACATAACAATAAAAATTTAAATAAATAAATAAAATCTTTAAAAAATAATATTGAAAGATTAATAAATAATAAAAATAAATAAAAATACTCCCAAAAAAAGCGGGGGCCGCCTGGGTGGCTCAGTCGTTAAGCGTCTGCCTTCGGCTCAGGTCCTGATCCCAGGGTCCTGGGATCGAGCCCCTCATTGGGCTCCCTGCTCAGTGGGAAGCCTGCTTCTCCCTCTCCCACTCCCCCTGCTTGTGTTCCCTCTCTCACTGTGTCTCGCTCTGTCAAATAAATCAGTACAATCTTCAAAAAAAAAAAAAAAGTTTCATGAACAAATGAATTATAGTATTAAATTTTCTTAAAAGGCAAGACAGTCTAATAACTATTTCAACAGTATAAAGTAATATAAACAGAGAAACTAAACTTCTAACAACATCTATGTAAAATGGAATTTTGGAGAACTTTTCCACAAATTTTTGTATTCTCTTAATTTTCCACAGTTCTGTCAGCAAAAATTTGCTGTGTGCCTACTTTGTGCCTGGTACTGTTCTAGACACAGGGAGTGTAGCGGTGGAAAAACTAGACACAGCCCTTGTTCTCAAGTAAATTGTTATCCACAAATTGCACAGTGAGTGAATTTCATATTTGAAATAACCCAAAGACACGCTTTTGAAAAAAAATTTTTTGCTACTGATTCTCCTTCAGAACTGATACTCCAGGTTTCCCTTGAATCACCTTTAAACTGTTGAAAGTGTAGGCTGATAAGAGGTATACTAAAGGAGAATAAGTCGTCTTTCACTGATACATATCAAGTTAACTTCTAGGAGCATCATATGTTGCTATATAAATGAAGGCAATATTTTCTTAACATTAAGAGAAATTTTCAGTATTTTGTCAACTATGCCTTAAAATTCAGGGTTTTAGTTGTCTTTCTGAATTAATTGCTGGCTATCTTTTTTTTTTTTTTTCTTTTGAGTGCTGGCCATGCCCTAGGCACTGTTCTAAGCACTCAGTGTGTATGTAGCTTAGTATGTATAAACTCGTTTCATTAAGACAAAGGTCCTACGATAGGTACTCTTGTTAAGCCCACTTAGAAATCAAGAAACAGGGGCACGGAGAGGTTAAATAACTTGCCCAGAGTCACTCACCCTGTTAGTGGCAGGGTTTGAATACAGATTTCAGGAGCTTGTGGTTTTAACCATTACATCATTTTTCTCCGAGTATTTGGTCAATTATGAAGGTCCCCCTGATGTCATTTGGTGACTAAAAGAAGAAAGAGTAAAATAAGCTTTATTAGTTTGCATAAACAGGCATAGGTTGTTTTCTGACAGTATAAAGTAATATAACCAGATCTTTTTCTTTTTAAAAATATACAAGTTCTATGTGTTGATTATTTTTCAAAGTTAACGTATAAACTATCTTTTTAAAAAGATTCTTAAAACCTTTTTTTTTCTCTGTAGCTTGACTCATGGTATGTTATTTTAAACGGCACTGTAGAAATCACTCATCCAGATGGAAAAGTTGAAAATCTCTTTATGGGAAATAGTTTTGGAATTACTCCCACTCTGGATAAGCAATACATGCATGGAGTTGTTAGGACTAAAGTAGATGATTGTCAGGTAAGTTTCTCTCTTTGCTCTTGTATTCTCATTTGTTGATTTAAAATGGCCGAGACTGTTTTTTCTTCCTCAAAATAAAATAGCTTGATTTGAGAATTGGGAGTTTTCAGAAGCTCACAGTTAATAAAAGGAAACTAGATTTTGTGTCTGACTCAGACATTTGTGGAATTGAACAAAGTATAAATTTTTAGAAGAGATGATACGAAATGTTGGTTTGTTAAATCTCTGTTGGGTAATAGCCAGCCAGTTTAGTCCTTTTTTTTTTTAAAATAAAGGAAAGAAATAGGAACTTCTGAGTTGTTTCTAACTTACTCCTGCTTCATGTTTTCTTTGCCTAGCGTCAGTTTTGAGAGAAGTAGATGTTCACTTCTCCTTTTAGAGCAGAATTCAAAAGGATTTAACCTCTTTGGTCTCTTTGTATGTGAATTATTTATTTTACCTTGATTTTTGTTAAGGGTTAAAGGGATTGAATAAAAGAGAACTGATGCCACTCGATTTCTTACCTTTGTGCTCTGCCTTGGTGCATAGTGATACATTTATGTACTACAGGTTCATTAACTGTCCCCATGTTATTCTTGGACAGTTTGTCTGCATAGCCCAGCAGGATTATTGGAGAATTTTAAATCATGTGGAGAAAAATACCCATAAAGTTGAGGAAGAGGGAGAAATTGTTATGGTGCATGAGCACCGTGAACTAGATCGGAGTGGAACCAGGAAAGGACACATTGTAATCAAGGTGGGTGTTTTTATTTATTATTCTAGTCACTGATAGAATAAAGCTTTCTTGTTTATAAGGCTTTGAGCCACTTTTTGTGCAGTGCAAGATAATTCACTAACTTTAGAATGTGTTGGTTTTGCTTTTTTCTGCGTTGGGTTTTACACACTTTAATAAGCGTGACATTGCCATTTAATATCAGTATGAGTAGGATATTATTTTAGAATACACTGGTCAAAGTTTTCCTTTCCAAATGCATTTTATGATCCATTGACAATGGGAGTTAATTTCGTCAAACACAGCAGTAAGCCAGAGAAAGAAATACCATATGATTTCACTCCCTTGTGAATTTAAGGAAGAAACTAATGGACGTTAGGGGGTGGGAAGGCAAACCAAGAAACAGACTCTTAACTGTAGAGAACAAAGTGAGGGTTGCTGCATGGGGAAGTCGTTGGAGAGATGGGTTAAATGGGTGAAGGGTATTAAGGAGGGCACTTGTTGCAATGAGCACTGGGTGTTGTATGTAAGTGATGAATCACTGAATTGTACACCTGAAACTAATATTACACTGTATGTTAACTGGAATTTAAATAAAAACTTTTGGAACTTAAAAAAAAAAAAAACCAGCAGTATTTAGAAACAAAACAGAAAATGAAAGGACTAGGGGTGCCTAGGTGGCTCACTTGTTAAGCGTCTGCCTTTGGCTCGGGTCATGATCCCAGGAGCCCCACATCGGGCTCCGTGCTGTGTGGGAAGCTTGCTTCTCCCTTTCCCACTCCCCCTGCCTGTGTTCCCTCTCCCTCTTTGTCTCTCTCTGTCAAATAAATAAATTAAAATCTTTAAAAAAAAAATTTAAAGGACTAATCACAAAAGTATGAAAGCGGTAGATGAAGATGCAGAGTGCTTACTGGGTATTTATGGCATTGAAATAGGCATTATCTTCTCTGAACCTCAGTTTTCTTATCTGAAAATGATATGACAGGGCTTTATTAGGACTAAATGAGTAAACCAAAAGCCTTAGTACATTGTAGAGTCTGAATATTAAACCCCATACTGTTTTCTGTAGCTCCCTCTCCCCTACCCTTTGTCCACTTGCCCCCTTGTCTCCCTCCTCCCCCTCTCCCAATACCCTGTCTCTTGGAAGATCTCTAGATTGTAAAATAGAGAAATTATAGTTGAAGTAGAGGAAATAAAAACGTGTAACCATTTCTCTTTTCAACCTAGTCTTGGTTGCAAAATAAATAAATGTGTTATTATTCATTACAAATGCATGAACTTATTAAATAATGTGAAGGACTGATGTCAGATCCATTTTTCCTCAGGAGTCAGGCTATTCTGCAACACTTTTTCTTTTCCTAAACTGATAAATAGAAGCTTTATATGTAGAAAAGATGAACATATGGGTGGATTGCCATAGACTACCTTTTTATGGGGGTTCATGTTTTTTTAATTCTTTAAATAATTACAACCTTAGATAATAGTTGCAAGAACAGTATTGCGCTCCCTCACTCAGAATCCCCAACTGCTCGTTAGCATTTCACTGCACTTTCTCCATTGTCAGCAATCTTTCTCTGAGTCATTTGAGAACAGTCTGCAAGCCTGATGCATCACTCCTAAATATTCCATTGTGTATTTCCTAAAAACAACACTCTCCAACACCATGGAACCCTTCAAGTTGGGAAATAAAAATTGATACAGTACAACCATTCAACCCACAGACCCTATTTAGATTTTCACCGACTATCCCAGCAATGGCTTTGTCCTTTCTCATCCAGCATCTCACCTAGAAACAGTTCATATTCTCAGCAGTTATAAAGAATACACACCTTTTATTCTGTAGTGTCATCCTCAGTGTGGATCTTTCCAATGTTTCCTCATGAGCAGACACAAGTCATGCTTTTCTGGCAGGAATTCCACAGAAATGATATCTTATTCTTCTCAGTGCATCATATCAGGGAGCATGTAATGTCAACCTGTCCCACCATTGGTGAAATCTACCTCAATCATCTGGTCATGTTGATGTCTGTCATATTTGTTCATTATCAAGTCACCATTATACCCTTTGTAATTGTTCAGTGTTTGGAGGAGAGATATTTTGACATAGTGTCAGTAAATCCTGCTAACTTCTGCCCTCCAGTCTTCCATTGACTTCTGCCTGAAATGGTGATTTTCTCCCCCCGCCCTTTTTTTTTTTTTTTTTTTTTACATTTATTATCTTTTTCTCTAAGGATGAATATTATCTTTTCCCCCATCACTCAGTTATTCTGGCGTGGATTTGTGTGTTGTACTCTCTCACCATCATTGTTGTTCCAGTGGTCAGGTTGTCCCAGATTTGGCCAATGGGACTTTCATAAGGCTGACTCCTATATCCTTTTGACATGTCCCCATCATTTTTTTAGAGCTTTCCTATTATCTGGCAAAACAAGGTGTTCAGGCTCATCTTGTGCTTTTCCTGTTCCAGCTTTGGAATCAGCCATTTCTCCAGAGAGCCCTAGATCCTACTAGTGGAGAATAGCATTTAAAAACTAAGATCTTTGGGGAGCGTGGCTGGCTGAGTTGGTGGAACATGCGACTCTTGATCTTAGGGTTGTGGGTTTGAGCCTCAATTGGGTGGAGAGATTACATAAAAATAAAATCTTTTAGGGACCCCTGGGGGGCTCAGTTGGTTAAGCGTCTGCTTTCGGCTCAGGTCATGATCCCAGGATCCCGGGATCGAGCCCTGAGTCGGGCTCCCTGCTCAGTGGGCAGTCTGCTTCTCCCCCTCCCGTTGCCCCCTCCCACTGTGTCTGTCTGTCTTTCTGTCTCTCTTTCTCTCATGCGCTCTTGCTCACTCTCTCAAATAAATGAATAAAATCTTTAAAAAAAAAAAAAACCAACAACAACCACCCAAGATCTTGGCACTTAGTCTTTCATTCCTACTTAGGTGTCATTGCTTTTAGTATATGTGCTGCCGAAGCGAGCACGGTGTCATTGCTTTCAGAACCTCTGATCAGACACAGCAAGGAAAGATGTGTATTTACTATATAGTATATTTGTATTAAATGTATATTTACAGTAAATGCATATGCATATATAACTTTGTATATGTCTCCATCTGTTTATAATAATCATGAGTTCGTACGAGCATACCGAGTTGCAGTGCTGTGCCACAGTTTTTCCTGGCCTTTCTCTTTTCATATTTGTAAATGCCTTCTCCTGCAGTGGCTCTTGTTATGCTCTGTGTATTCACTTACTTGCTCATTGTAACCAGTCTCTGTCATGCTAGTGTCACCATTTCAGTCATCTTCCTTGCCTGCCAACTCTGCTCACCCTGTCTCCCAGAATCCCACCTTGTTGGATACTAGTGAGCCCTTTGGTGACATGCTTCTGCATGACTATGGGGCTCACCTTTAAATATAGTTTTGAAAATATGGCTTAGTGTCTACAGGTATCCTGCCCCAGTGATTTAGCTAGTCAGAATAATAAACTTTCTTTAACATGTTGATCAGTTCCTCCCCCAACTTAATTATACGTAAATCTAAGAACCAGGTTTAAATACCTCAACTCAAGATTGGCCTTTGAAAGTTAAGCCCAATTTGGTACTCTTTGACTTAGATTGTTTTGGAGGGTGGAAGAAGAATAGGAATGACCTGTGGTTGCCTTATCCCTTAAATATGTTATATGAAAAACCTTACTTTGACTTCCTTCTAGAGAAATGATTTATATACCTTTTTTAAAGTAAATTCTTAGATAACATTGTTAGTATTGATGTATGTTTACCATACAGTTATTCTCACCAGTGAAGTTGTTTGGGTGAATTGAAATTTGAGGTTATGTACAACAGTTGGTTTTTATATTTGGTTTAACATCTGGTTTATCTTTACATTTGTTCTGTGTACACACTTTTGAAAAGGCTGCAAAGGTAATAAATTTTAACATTGATTCAGAAGCTTAAAGCAGAGCTGTAGATAAATGTTTACATTCCTTTTTATAAATCTGGAGACAGGCAAGTAGTTAAAACTCTGAATTAATGTAAAAACTATATATAGAACTTCTGGTTCCTCTCAAGATGGTGAACTAGCATGGAGAAACTATAGAAAAAGAAACTTCTTTTCTAGGAAATAAAAACAACAAAACACACTGTCTTGAACTGGTACGTTGTTCCTATAGCCTGGGGCAGAAGAGATTTGAAGATGATTAAATTTAGAGGAAAGGTTTTTCGTTTTGTTTTGCTTTGTTTTGTTTTTTAAGTTTAACTCGGACTTATTCCATCTGGTGGCTTAAGGTGTCATTCCCCCCCACCCCCACCCCAATTGTAGAAAAAGGCCACAACCGGGGTAAATCACTGAATTTCAAAAGCCCTGCTAGGATAAAATGACAATTAAAACAGCTAAAACTGAGTAAATGTTGTTGGGTATTTTCATCCTCTGCTTTTTCTCTCTTTCAACCTCTGGGTGCTGGTGGATTGCAACCTGTAAAGACTACCTTCTCCCACTGCTAAGTATTTTAACAGTGAAACTCTGCTTTGAGGAATTGTGTAATAGAGTGACTACAAAGGAAGTAATCAGTAGAGTTCTTTGTTTCCTCAGCTATTTGTTTATTTTATGATCTTTTCTATCCTTGGATTTTTAGGCAACACCTGAGCGTCTCATTATGCATTTAATAGAAGAACATTCTATTGTGGACCCAACTTATATAGAAGATTTCCTACTAACTTACAGGACATTTCTTCCAAGTCCTTTGGATGTTGGGATCAAACTACTGGAATGGTTTAAAATTGACAATTTACGGGATAAGGTTGGTTTTATAAATATGAAGGGCATGGAAGTGATTTTAACCTATAAATTTTATTCATAAAACCTTTTACAGTTGATAAATATTTATTTTGATAACAAAATTAACTTCACCTAAAAAACATAGCTCTACTTAGTTACTTTTGTGGAAAAAAGCATGTTAAAAAGTGGATATAAGCCTTTAAAGTTAATAACTGAAATAGTCTGTGGTATAGTAATAAACTCAGAAAACGTGAGAGCTGCATAAGAGTATTTTTGAAATTTATCAAATTGTTTGTTTCTGAGGGAGATCAGTAAAACACTTAAAACTTAATAGTTTAGAAAGAATATTCACCAAGTAAAATATTTTCAGGGGAGCTTAGATTGTTTGTAAGCCCCAAAATAGAAATATGTTGATTTTTGAGTTAAAGACTTCATAATCATTTTAAAACAATTAGTCTTTTAGATCTTAATATCTCTCTGTTGTGACTTATTTTAATCTACATTTAAGTATTTTTTTTTTTTTGCATTAAACATTGTTTGCTATTTTAAATCATCTTACCTTATTTCACAGGCTGTTTGTACATTCAGTGGAAAGACTAGCAATACCTCAGCAAATTGGTAGGAAGTTCTTATTTTAAGAAAAATAAAAGTAGGGTCATAATTGCTTGGTATGTCTTTCTGAGTTATGTCTTTTTTTAAATTATTAACATATAATGTATTATTTGTTTCAGGGGTACAGGTGTGTGATTCATCAGTCTTAAACAATACACAGCGCTCAGCACAACACATACTCTCCCCAGTGTCCATCATCTGAGTTATATCTTAAAAGAAATAGTTAGATGTACCTGGACTCTGGAATTCCATTGTTTAGGAAACTAAAGTGTTTTAAACTACAGGCTTGCCTCCCCACCCCCTTAGGAGTTACATGTAGTTACTTGAGTGCCTGAGGAGATAAAGGTATGCTGAAGAATGAACAAAAATATGAGTGAGGGACAACTAGATATTCACATGCAAAAGAATGAAATTGGACCATTACCTTACACTATATACAAAATTAACTCAAAATGAGTCAGAGACCCTAAATACAGGAGCTAAGACTATAAAACTCGTAAAAGAAGAGGTTAAAAAATCATGACCTTCTTAAACTTTTTTTGTATTCATATGTATTGTTTAAATCTTTACAATGACATGCTGTTTTTACAAAAATAAAACCTTTTCTTTTAAAACTTAAAAAAAAGAAAAACCATGACCTTGGATTTGAGATATGCTATCCAAAGCACAAACAACAAAGGACAAAAAACATAAATTAAACTTCATCAAAATTAAAGCCTTAAATTGAAAGAAAAGACAAGTGGAATGGAAGAAATATATTTGCAAATCTTATATCTGATAAGGGTCTAATATCCAGAATGTATAAAGAACCCTTGCAGTTCAACAGCAAAAAGAGAACACAACATAGAAATGTGTTTGCTAGCCATTTATATTTCTTCTTTGGAAAATAGTCTATTCAAGCCTTTTGTCCAAGACTATTTTCCAAAGAAGATATATAAATGGCTAGCAAACACATGAAAAAGATGTTCAACACCATTATTTTTTTTTTTATTTAATTTTATTTTTTTATTTATCTGAGAGAGAATGGGAGACAGAGAGCATGAGAGGGGGAGGATCAGAGGGAGAAGCAGACTCCCCGCTGAGCAGGGAGTCCGATGTGGGACTCGATCCCGGGACTCCAGGATCATGACCTGAGCCAAAGGCAGTTGCTTAACCAACTGAGCCACCCAGGCGCCCCTCAACACCATTATTCATAGGGAAATGCAAATCAAAACCACAGTGAGATTCTACTTCACACCGACTAGAATGGCTTTTAAAAAGGAAAGGAAGTAACAAGCATCGCCAGGATATGGATGTGGAGAAAATGGAATTCCCATACATTGTTGGTAGTAACGTAAAATGTTATAGCTGCTCTGGAAAACAGTCCAGCATTTCTTCAAAAAGTAAAACTTAGAATTACCAGATAGCCCCACAGTTCTCCTCCTAGGTATTTATCCATAAGGACTGAAAACAGGTGTGCAAACAGAAACTTAGATACAGATGTTCATAGCACCACTGACAATAGCCAAAAGGTAGAGACAACCCAAACGTCCGTAAACTGGTGGATGGGTAACAAACTGTGGTATAGCCATGTAATGAAACGTTACTCAGCCATAAAAGGGAAAAGTAGTACAAGCTGCAACATGGATGAACCTTGAAAACGTAATGCTAAGTGAGAGAAGCCAGACACGAAAGGTCACATTTTGTATGAAATATCCAACATAGGCAAAATACACAGAGACAGAAAAGCATATTAGTGGCTGCTTGGAGAGAGGGCAGAAAGTGAGGTGGCTCCGTAACCGGAATGGGGTTTTCTTTTGGGGTGATAAAAATGTTCTGGAACTAGGGAGTGGTGATAGTTGCACACCATTGTGAATGTGCTAAATGCCACTGAGCTGTACACCTTAAAGTGTTTTAAATGGTGGCTTTTATGTGTATTCTACCACAGTTTAAAAAATATATAACTTAAGTTACTTCCATTATTAGGTGCATGATTCAGTTCGGCTTCCATTAACTTTTCTGTTAATCTGTGACGCAAAGTAAGCAAATCACTTTACAGCTTTGAAAAGTCACAGTATAATGAAGTAAGTTCAGATGTGCTTATGTTAGGACTTTTGGTTAAACATGTGCTTGGCTATATAAACACTTTTGATACGATTGCCTCCCCTTAGAAGCTCACATTTTAGGGTACTGTCTGAGGTATACATCCTGTGTACTTCTTACAGCTTAGCATGCAGGTTTGTGGTGGGGTTTTTTGGTCTGTTTTGTTTTTTCATGAGGGTACAGTCTTGGCGCTCTGTGTTGCTTGTGTCCTCCAGGAAACAAAAGGTCAAAATAAACCATGCCTCTCTCTAAGAATGAACCTTTTGCATGCAGGATAGGGGGTGAAGGGATTAGCCATAAAGCTCCGTCCACCCTCAGTTCTTGGACATGCTTTTGGAATATACTTCTGCAGAAAGAATGCCTTTCATAACTGTATGCTTCCTCCTTCATGTTTCCACAGGTGACACGGATTGTGTTATTATGGGTAAATAATCATTTTAATGATTTTGAAGGTGATCCTGCTATGACTCGATTTCTGGAGGAATTTGAAAAAAATCTGGAAGATACAGTAAGACTCAAAAGAATTTATCTTCTTCAAGGTTTAGGGATTTTCCTCATCCCCAAATAACAGCAACTCAGAACAACTTTTATCTTCTCCTGTGTCTTGAGTCTGCTCTGAGAACTCCACATTTATATTCTAGATTCTGCTCATTCTCTGCCACTAACCCAAGCGAAAATCAGGCTTCCTCCTGACTCTTGTATTTTCGTTTTAAGACTAATGAGAATGCTATCTCCAGTCACCCAAGCTTATGAACTCTTGTGTATATGTGGGCCCCCTCTCTCTTTTCCTTGAATTCCCTGACCCAGGTGTTCATTCGTTGCTGAAGTCACCTAAGTCACTAATTGTGGCAGTACCCGTATTCCCTATAGTCCCTTTCTGTCTGCCATTCCTTTTTCACTCCCCATTTAAAGCGTCATTTCATCATGCCTCATCTATTGTAATAACTAGCTAATTTTAGTTCTGGTATTTTTTCTAGTCCATTTTGTTGCCAAAGATTGTTTTTAAACTATAAATGAGATGAATATTTCTCTCTTTGTCAGTAAACTAAAGTATTTCCTACCAAAGTAATTTCTCATCCATATTCAGGTTCCTCACCTACATTTTCAGTCTTTTTATCTGTGCACCCTTGATTTTAACCAACCAGATTATTTTATATTCTTTACCAGTTCTCAGGTTTGAATTCTTTTCTTCTAGTGTTGCTGTTTGAACTCTATGCAACTTTCAAGGCCTATTTTATGTATCAGCGCTATATTAGGCATTCTGAGTCTCCCTTCTGCATGTGATTTCACTTGTTCCAAATATACAACACCTAAGATAATCCCCTCAAGGTCCTGTTAACTTTCACAGTTGCTATTTATAATTCCATTTACTCTGTCACGTAAAAACTTTGAACTGCAACTGGATTTATGTCCTCCAACTTGAAATTTTAGGAAGTAAATTAATAATCAGCTCAGGAGTTAGTTTGCCTGAATTAACATTCAAATTATACCACTTGTTAGGCATGTAAACTTGGACAAGTAGCCCAGCCCTTTATGCAATTGTCTTTACAAGTAGTAGCCCCTACTTTCTGGGGATTGTTATAAGGATTATAATGAGCTAATGAATGTAACAATCTGGGGGGAAAAAAAAAAACCTGGCACATTGCAAATGCCCAAGAACCATTGCTGTTACTCAAAGTGTAAGTGGATTGAGTTGAAAAAGGGATTTTTAGATTTCTGGCAGATTTCTGTCCGTTCCTTTACCTCTTAGTTCCTGTAGCCTTCTCAGCAGCCCTTCAGCTCTGTGCAAAATGGGAAGAGTGAACAGAGACGGGAGAACTTGATTAAGAGGATGTAGAAGCTTACCACCATCATCTGGGTTTTCCATTGGGCTAATGGAAAATAGATATTGCCTTACAATCATGGGATTTCTTTTTTGATATCATTCAGTCATCAGGTATTTATTCAGTTCTACTTTATACTTCCAAGGTGTTGGGAGTATAGGATCAGAACAGGTGTAAGGCTTGGCCCCTGTCCTGAAGAAACTTTAGCTGCTTTTTATGGGCATGAGATTTACACATACTATGCTATTTGAGAATAGTTGAATATTAAATTGGTATTAAAATCTGAAAGTGAGAATATTACTAAGGTTAAGAAAGATCTAAAATAATATAGGAATAATAAACCCAGAAGAGGTAGGGACTTGAATGTATCTTTCAGTATGACTGTATTCAGAAAGGTGGTTCAGGTCTTTTAAGGTTTTAAATGAAGGTTTATAAAGATTCTGGATTTATGTAATAGCCAGGAGATGAGCAAGGTAGGAAAGTTCAGGCCATGAGAAGTAATGTTTTGTCTTCCCTCTCTAAATGAGACATCATTTTAAACTCTTTCCTAACCTGTGATTATCGAGCAGTTTTTAAAAACTGTATTGCGAGATCATCATCTTGACAGTGCTCTGGGGTGGAAGTTTTCCCTCCTGTTTTATTTATGCTGGCTTACATGTTCTTTAATCTGTATTTCATCAAGGTAACTCAGATTCTAATAATTTTAGGTGATTTTTAAAAGCCTATAGGAATAGATACATAAATTTATGTGCATTATACCCTTTTTTACTTTTTTAGAAAATGAATGGTCATCTCCGGTTATTGAATATTGCCTGTGCTGCAAAGGCCAAATGGAGACAGGTGGTGCTGCAAAAGGCTTCCCGGGAGTCCCCTCTACATTTCAGCCTTAACGGAGGGAGTGAGAAGGGGTTTGGTATTTTTGTTGAAGGAGTAGAACCTAGTAGCAAAGCTGCTGATGCTGGACTGAAACGTGGTGATCAGGTAAGTAAATAACTACCCACATGAATTAAAACCTTTTTGGAAGTAATATGTCTGCTGCTTTTTTTCACATGTGATATTTCTTCAAGTAAGCATGATCCACTTAAGGAAATACAAATAAAAATTAAAATGAGGGGTGCCTGGGTGGCTCAGTCAGTTAAGTGTCTGCCTTCAGCTGAGATTGTGATCTCGGGGTCCAGGGATTGAATCCCTGCTCAGTAGGGAGTCTGTTTCTCCCTCTGCCCCCCCTACTTGTGCTTGCTTGTGTGTGTGCCCTCTCTCTCAAATGAATGAAATCTTTTTAAAAATAAAAAAAATAAAAATTTAAATGTAAGTGGCCAAAGATTACCATAAGTGATGGTTTCAGCTTAAAAGGTGTTCACCTGGTAACAGACCTACATGCATACGCAGAGGAAGCCAGGTGAGAGACTAGGAGAAAGGAGACACTAGGAAGAAGTTGGTGGGGATTTATTCTCTCCATTAAGACTTCAGGTAGCTAAAGGGCGAGCAATGTGTTCCCAGATGTGATTCCTGACAACCTTGTTACTAAAAAATGTAATTCCTAAGCCCACCTCGGTTCTATTAATCGTACTAGTCACATTCTCCAGAGATGAGCTCTAGGAATCTGTGTTTTTACCACAGCTCTCTAGGTGATTCTCAGGCACACCAAAGAGCAGTTTTTCAAGTTCAGGTGAATCACTTGGGAAGGTTATGTTTTCTCATTTTAAAATTCTACTAGTTCATTTACTCATTTAGAATGTAGCTTTATTTAACTTTTAACCATACTAATGCACTTTCCTTTTAAAATAATGAATGCATCCACATTATAAAAAGTTCTACACTGCAGAGCAGGGGTTCTCAACCGGGAGTGATTTTCTCCCTCAGGAAACATTTGGCATGTCTGGAGATATTTTTGATTCTCATGACCTAGGGGTTGCTACTCGCATCTAGTGGATAGAGGCTAAGGATGCTGCTGAGCAGCCTACAACACGCTGCAACAGCGCATCCCTCACAATAAAGAGTTACCCAGCCCAAATATCAAAGGGTTAAGAAACTGATTTAGAGTTATAATGATCCTCTTCTTCCCCTAAGGGAAATTTTAAAAAATAGAGGTTTCTGGGCCTAACTCCGCTGTAGTCATTAAGAATATCTAGTAGCTAGAATTCTAGAGTCAGTGTATTTATTGTTCTAGTATTTTATTTTAAATACATTTAAGCGTCTCATTCTTCACAGAAAAGAAAACCATAAAATCAAATGATTTCATTCTTGAGAGAAAATTTATCAGCTTTTTACTTCTTTCCTCAGTCTTCCCAGTTATTTTTAAATTATCTGAAATTTTAGATTAGCTATTAAGTCATTTTTAACATTGTTTATCTTAAGAATACTTTTGACGTTTGCATTAAGTTTCGTGAGTTTATCACTAACAACCATGTAGACATTTATAACTGTCTTACTGATGTCATTGATCACCTCCCTTTCATCTGTGCCCTGTGTCTCCATTATTGTGTTTCATTTCACAGTTGTCTTCTAGTACTACTGGTACCTTTTCTGGTACTTTTCTCAAAAAGGGCCAATAGGTACTATAGTTTTATGTGTCCTTGCATGTCTGATAATGCTCTTGTTCAGTGGAGTATGATATTCTTTGGTCAGTTATTTTTTTCCCTGAGAACTTTGATGTTAAAGAAAAGTATCACATTATTTTAGTATGGCCCAAGAGAAGTCCAAGCCAATCTTCATTTTTCTTTTCTGGCTTTGTTTTTTTGTACCACCACCCACTACTACACAGTGATGCGTACAGATTCTTTGTTCTCTGTCCTTGGAATTCAAAATTTTCATTGGGCTGTGTTAAGTCTCTTTATTATCTTTTCATGGTACTAGATGAACTAGTTCAGTATGTAGACTCAAGACTTTTTTCAACTCTGAATTTTACTTCTGTGATTTTTTTTTTTTTCTTTTCATGATATTTTGCTTCTCAATCTTTCTTTTATCCTGTTGGAATCATTGTGTCAATCCCTGATATCTGTCCTGTACGCTCCTTTTTTTTTTTCCATTATGTTTATCTCTTTATCCTTTTTTGTTAGAACTAGTATTTTTTAAGAAACTTTTATGTATGGTTTTGAGGTACAGCCAAGTTTGGGAAGCCCTGCTGTGAAGGTTGAGACGTGTCATGTGGAAGAACTCATCACAGTGGTGCTTTTTGCTTGACTTGCTGGTTCATTCATTGTCAGGAAATACATAGATGTCTTCAGAGTATCACTTTCGAATGAGTTCTCTCTCTTAAATGGAGTAAATTTGCTTTTAGAGATTTCAATAAAATTTGCGCATATATACACAGGCACTAATTTTTATCATCTGATCTGACATTAAAATTTTTCCTTCATATATAAGCCATACTGTGTTTTTTAAAAAAAAGTCTTCAATATGATCTTAGAGGGAATGCACTTTCAAAAAATGTTTTTAGTAGATATTTGGGGAAATACAATAAAGAGAAAAATAATTAAGTAGTAACCCCACTTCTCACAGAGATAACCATTGTTCACATATGGTGGGTGCATTTTGTTCAAGTTTCATTTTTTTCACCATTAAACTTAAGGTTGCAGAAGTAACTAATATTGTTTTTGTCATAATTTGTTTTACAAATGCTTTTCTCAAGATAATGGAAGTAAATGGACAAAACTTTGAAAATATTACATTTGTGAAGGCCCTTGAAATTTTAAGGAATAATACTCATCTTGCACTTACTGTGAAGACCAACATTTTTGGTGAGTTTTGTTGTAAAAACTGAGGCTTTTTGTTTGTTTTTTGGTTTGTTTGGTAATAAAGAAAAAAGGTATTACAATGAAAAAAATAGTAAAATGTAAACAGGTTCTCTCTGAGCTCTTAAATAAACATTTTTAGGGTCCTTAATGTTGAGATATGGTACTATGTATTCTAGAATTTTCATTTTTCATTATTTGTATTATTTTGATGTTTTAGAAATAAGATTTAAAATAGGTGTAGAAGTATGTTCAGTTAGTCATTTATGAAATGTCTTCTGAGGAGGTATTATGTACTTTGCTGGGAGGCACAGTGAGTGAAACTTAGAATGATCTGAATGAAGGATAAAAGTCACAGTCGTTTATTTCCCCTGCTAATGTGCACATCATAGTACTGCTAAAGTTTTAACTGCCTTTCTGAAATAAAATATGAATGCCAGATTATCTGTTTCGTGAAAATAAATGGAGGAAAACAATCAGTGAACTCCAGATTTTTAATAATGGTGTACTCTACCTTTCTATGTAAAAATGCTGATTACTGTGTCTGCAGTGTGTTTTGATCATGCTTCTGTTTGAATGAAGCAAAGACTAAGCTTGTACTTGCGTTTTGTTTTCTTTTAGGGAAGACTTACTGTAACTTCGTTTCATTAGATACCAGAGGATATTCTCTGAAATTCTGAGAAGGGCAACAATAAAAACAGTATAATAATTTGAAAATTATCAAAGAAAATTTAAGGGTCTTTATGAAGTAAGGGGGAAAAATTCATATGAGTCATTTTGGTTGCAATTTGAAAACTAGGAGTTGAATTTAAAAGCTGTGCCTATGGAAAAGGAAGTGTGTTTTATTTTTTCACTTTGACTCCTCCTTATACTGCACTTAGTCATAGTGAAAAATGAAACATTTGGTATTTTTCCTCTTTTCACTTGAGTCCTTTCAACTGAATTATGTCCTCTTAAATCTGATACATAACTGTCTATTTGCAGTTTCTCAATACTATACTTTTTAGTGTAAAATAAGTAAGCCTTCACAGTTTCTGGATTTCTTGAGTTTGAACTAGTATCTAGAAACAAAACTTGTGGGTTAAATTTAAAAGATTCTGATTTTGTAAAAAGGAAAGCAGAGCTTGCTCTGACACTTAGAGCAAATGATTCTCCAAGCTTGACTTTCTCCAGCTGTATTTCATAAGGCTCTTATACAGATCAAACACCTTTAACTTTTTCTGCCAGCACATAGTAATTACTAAATGGTATCAACTATTATGTATAAAAACATAGAGATAGTAAATTTGGTGGTTAATACCATGACCCCTGGAAGACAGAAAAAGGAGATCTGAAGGCAGAGAAGCCACAACCTTAGAACTCCTTGAGTGGTGAGAAACAACTGCCCAGCAGAACTCTAGATTGGATGTGGCACAGGGTAGGCATGATGTGGTACTGCAAAAGGGGCCCGTGTCCTCCACACCTTGTTCCTTATCCTAGGCAAAGTATGGTCAGCGACTTTTACCCCAAACAAAACACCTAAGAGTATCTTGAAAGGATATTAATAAAACATTTGTAAAAATGGAGCATTTTAGTCTGGATGTCATACCTGGAATAAAATCCTAGTAACTCTGGCATTGCAATGAAGAAAAGTGGCACGGTTAGGTCATCCTGTATAGAACTCACAGTCAGAACACCTGCAAGTAGGAGGGGTCCCCAGGTGGCTCAGTCAGTTAAGCGTCTGCCTTCAGCTCAGGTCATGATCCCAGGGTCCTGGGATCGAGTCCCACATTGGGTTCCCTGCTTAGTGGGGCATGCGCTTGTTGCTTTCCTCTGCTACTTCCTCTGCTTGTGTGTGTGTGCGTGCGCGCATGCGTGTACTGTCTCTCTCTTTCTCAAATAAAATCTTTTTAAAAGAAAGAGAGAGAGAAAGAAACAAACACCTACAATTAGGAAAACTGACCAGAAGACAGATTTGTTTAGATGATACCAGAGCAGACCATATTTGGTCATTTTGTGTTAATTAAAACTGATAGCCAGGCATAGGAGAATCAGGATCATTGAGGAAGCATGGTGGGGAACCTAATAAGTAAGCTTACAGATTCTGGAGAAAATAGTTAAAAGAAGAGAGAAGAAAAACATTTTCAGAACTGTGCTCAGAGAGATTTAAAAATTCATCTCTTAAAACAAGAACAGGGTATTTAGGAAAAAAGGAACAGTCCCTGAGAAAGAAAGAACTCAGAGTGACTTAAAACATGGCAGCAAAGACAAAAACATTCTGTAGAGGGAGTAGGTAATAAAGTTGAGGAAGTCTCCCAGACTATAGAACAACAACAATAAATAGCATTGAGCATTATTCCAGGAAATCTGAAAGAAAATGTGGAGAACAAAGTATTCATGCAACAGTAGTAGAGACTATCCCAGAGTGAAAGAAGGATGTGACTCTTCTAATTCAAAGGTCCACCTAAGATCTGTGCAAAATGAATTAAAGAAACTTGTTTTAACATTCTGTTTCCAGTATTGGCTGAGAACAACCAGGAAAGTTAGACTAAATATAAAAAGTAGCTACGACGAAGTATAAAAATTCAAGAAGAGAGCTAAGAACTACCTGACACAGAACAGAGAGAGAATCAGACCAGAAAGAGGTGAGCTGGAGCTGTATGTGCTCTGGGACATTCACCAGTACAGAAAAGCACCGAAGAGACAGCCTTTTTGGGCAATGGACTCCCAGGAAAAGGCTAAAGAGTTGGAATCCTGCAGTTGCTAGGAGAACAAAGTCTGCATGTGTCACATCCCTTCCTCCCCCTGCACTGAAACTACTCCAAAAGGATGCCTTTTTTCCCATGGACATTTTCAGTCCATAGATTGTAGCTGAGAAAAGGAACTGCTGGATAAAATATTACAGGTTTCTAGTTTAGAGAGCCCACCAGGGCCAGACCACTCTCGCATAACAGCCTTTATTGAGGATTGGGACCTTGAACAGCTAACTCTGAAGAGGATGCGACTGTACTCTAAACAGCTCAGAAGGACCTCAAGTTTTGGCCCTGTCTCTAGCCCCAGATGTCAGGTGCCTGGCAAAAGAACATAAAAATCCTCTTTTGAGGATTCTAGCAGTAACCTCCTATTTGTAATAATAATTTTTCAAGTACAGAGTCAAGCAAACAATCAAAGATTTTGAGGCTCTCTTAAAAGTCAGTGTAATCCACAACCAACAGAACTAGAGGAGCTCCAGAATATCAAACACAGACTGTGAGGTAACTGTCTTATATCTGTGAAGATAAAAATCAAATTAAGAGTTCCATTTACAGGTGAGATGGAGTAAACACATGCCACCCTTTATTTCCCCACTAAGATCAACAATAAAACCTGGCCAGAATCGTGATCCACCCATTGAAGAACTTGGAAAATTCAAAGTCCCACTACCAGCAGTGAATTAATCCTTTTTTTTTTTTTTTTTTTAAATCCAGTATCTCCTGAGCTGAGCTGGCAAGCTGAAACCTGGATGTGTGCAAACTAATAAAGATTCAGGAAAAAGCTGATTTGAGGAGTAAGAAAGGGAATTCCCACAGTTTTTTTTTCCCCCTCTTTTTTTTCTCCATTCTGTCAGGCCTCAGCCGCCAAGTAATCCAGTAGCAGTGACAGCAGCCTGCAACACAAGGTTGCACAAGCCAGAATTCTGAGGGAGGGGAACCTTCTTCACCCTTTAGTGGAGCTGTGGCTCCAGGAAGGCAAGGCCAACTTCATTGTTGTTTTCCCACACTCTCTGCCCTCCTCTTCCTTGGCCCCTAAAGTGCTACAGTGGGCAGTTTATTAGTTTATTTCTAGAGGACTGAGAAGGTTAACCTAAGGATAGTAGGTTGATAACTGAGATGGAGGAAGGAGACAACCCATAAAGTTGTTGATGAGATCCTGGGCTCACCTCCATCCTTTGTGTGGATGTGATCCTACTTAGCATACCAGAGACTTGGAGAACTGACATGCCAGTAGACGCACCTCTGCCCAGGTGCCAGACTGAGTAGTGGCACAAAGCAGAAAGATGGAGATAGCACTCCAAAGCTTTCCAAATTGAACACGGGAACCACAGCCCACAGAAAGCTGAACACAGATAACATCATGTTCCATAACTTATAAACAGGACTCAGAGCAATTTTAACTACAACAAGGATCCCTTAGTACAAGTCTCTCTATTTTGTTTGGGCTTGGTGGAACTTTTGAATTTGTGCATTGACGTCTCATCGCTTTAGAAATCTTGTGGCCATTATGACTTGAGATACTGCCTTTGCTACTATGTCTTCTTTCCGTGTGAGAGATCCTTTACTTACGTGTTAAAAGATGTGTGTCCCATGCATCTCTTAGCGTCTGTTCTGTTCTTTCCGTTTTTTTCCCCTACTTGGGCTTCAGTTTGGGTATTTTCTAATGACCTGCGTTTAAGCAGTTTTCCTGTTTTCTTCTGTGTCCAGTCTGCTGTTGAATCCATGCAGTGACTTAATTTTAGATAATTAATTTTCTAGTTCTGGAATTCCCATTTGAATCTCTTTTATAAATTCCAGTTCTCTGTTGCACCATGTCTTCATCCATTTGATCTCCTCCCTATATTTTCTTTAATTTATTTATAATGGTTATTACAAAACTCTGTGTGTTAATTCCAAAATTGGGTTTTTATTCTCTGTGCCCCCTCCCTTCCCAGTTATCATTGTGTCTTATTTTGTGTGTCTTACAAATTTTTTTTTTTTTTTTTTTTTGGTATGCTGTACTTCGTATATAAAGAAACCTAAGCAAGTAGGGAAATTAATATTTTTTCATAGAAAGGATTTGCCATTTCCTCTGGTTAAGCATGTAAATAAGGTAAGGGGAATTGGGCTGGGTGAGGCTGGGTTACAAAATTACTTAAAATGTATCCACGTTTTAAACTGAGAGTGAGATTTGTCATGTGCTTGATGCAGGTCCCATCTCTAATGGAACTTTGTCTCTGAGCACAGAGAGATTGTGGGAAATTGTACTCTGCTTTGTCAGCCTTGTCCTCCTAC